CGGCCACCAAGCCTATGAAAAGATGCTTAACTAACCCTAAACCATGCTCACTAATAATCAGAAAAATGTGAATCAAAACCACAGTGAGATACCTCACGCCGTGTAGGATGGCCGTCATCAAAACAGTAGAAAACAACAGGTGTTGGTGAGGAGGAAGAGAAATTAAAATCCTTCACACTCTTGGTGAGATTTTAAAATGATGCAACCAATATGAAAAAAAGGTATGGAGGCTCCTCAAAAAATTAACAATAGAACTGCCATAAGGCCAGCCATCCCACTTCCGAGCGGACATCCGAAAGCACTGAAGCAGGTCTCTGTGAGGTACCATGTTTCCCTGAAAATAAGACAGGGTCTTATGATTATTTTTCCTCAAGAAGACACCTTGGGGCTTATTTTCAGGGGTGTGTTATTCTCCCCTCAAAGCCTCAGCTTGCAGCACGCACAGGACGGCCGGGACCTGACAGGGGGAGCTGACCTTGTTGGTGGGGCTGCCCGCACCTTTCCGGTCACCTCTGGGACAGTCGCTGTCACGACAGGGCAGGTGAGAAGGGCTGCTCGTCTTTTTGACTGCTCCATGATGACATGCACGGGTTGTGCAAATACGCTGCGCAGCCACGCCCGTCACCAGGGCTTATTTTCGGGGTGGGGCTTCTATGGCGCACATGCTTAGAAACCCTGCTAGGGCTTATGTTATGGGCAGGGCTTATTTTCAGGGAAACACGGTACCTGCAGGGAGTGTCCATGGCGGCATCATCACAGCAACCGGGAGGCAGAAGCGACCCGGACTTGCATCGGCAGGTTAGGGGATAAACAAAGGTGGTGTGTGCGTGCAAAGTGAGAAATCAGCTCTGTAAAGGGAGAAATCCTGCCACATCTCACAGCGTGGATTAACCTTGAAGACATTCTGCTACGTAAAATAAGCCGGTCACAAAAGGACAAACGCTGGGTGATTCTAATTATCCGAGATATCGCAAATTCATAGAAACAGAAAGGAGATGATGGTTTCCAGGTGCTGGGGAGAGCAGGGAAGGAAACGGTTGTTTAATGAGGATTGAGTTTCAGTTTTGTGAGATGGAAACGTTCCAGAGAGCCGTTTCACTGCTGTAACACATTTTGTATGAACATGCCTAACACTACCGAATTGCATGCTTAAAAATGGTTAGGATGGTAAACGTTGTTTTTTACCACAATAAAATAATTTGGTAAATATCTGTGCATCATAAACCGAAAGTTAAGGGCAAAAGACAATAATAATGCCTCATTTGTGTGATGAAAAAATAGGCATGAACAAAAATATAAAACAATAACATATAAAATGGGGATAACCTTATATAAATGTTAATATCAGTGTCCCTCTCTAACTATCTGATAGATCAAACAGACAAAAAAAAATAATATAGAGAATATGTTAACAGCACAATTAAAGAGTCCAGTGCACACATAGAGAGATCTTTGCACACAGAACACGTTTTTAAAGCCAGGATGACTTTCATGAAGTCGGTGACTCCCAAGGTCCTACCAGCCCCCGGCACGCAGGGGAGAAGAATGAGAAAAGGATGATTGAAAAAATAACCTGTGTTTGCAAAAAACGAAAACACGTTCCTGAAACAATATTGTGGTTTAAAAGAAATCATAAAAGACAGAAAAAAATAACTAGAATTGAAAAATAACAAAAACGCTATACGTCAAGCCGGTGAAATTCAGGCAGAGCAGACCTTAGGGGAGTATTATAGCCTAAATGCTGTGTCAGGAAAATAAAAAAGATGCTCGAAACTAATGAGTTAAATTTCCAACTTAAGAAGTAAAAAAAAAAAAAAAAAGAAAAGAAAGAAAAACAACAAAAATAACAACAACAAAAAAAACCCCCAGCAGAATGAACCCAAATATTAGGAGGGAGATAATAAAAAAGATACAAAGAATGAAAACAAGTTAGTATTATTCATTGGCCACTAAAAACAATCCAATTGATTTACTAATCATCATAAATAATATTATGAAAAATAATAGAAAAAATAGACTTGTTGCTTTCTTCTTATTGGCAACATTTTGGAAAATATAGTTTTATTGGTAATACTACCTTGCTGTTATGAACTGATTTAATCTGACGAAACTTGTTCCCAAATTTTTCATGTTCTATATGGTTTTCTTTTTTTTAATATATATTTTTATTACAGACGTCTTGCATATAAGGTTTTCTTTTAAAAAAAAATCACAGAGAGCTTTAAACTTGCTCTCCCAAGTTATCATCTTCTAAATTTTTCTTTTCGGTACCTTTTTAAGAATGATTTTCATAATACATTTTCCGAGCCTTATTAAAAGAACCTAAATAGAAATTGATCAACACCTATAACCACACTACAACACAGACTGATAATAGTTCTTAATTAAAAACAACTATATAAAGAACTATGCATGCATTCGTGTGTTCCAAATCAGTTGTAAGTTGTTGCATGTAAAAATTGTTTTTGTTACACAGTGCCTCGTTCAAAGAGTTTTCTTTGTGTGTCTTGAGAAAACCTGTGCAGCCCCACCCGTGGCATTTCTCAAACAACATCCAATCACATGGACAACACCAAACTTCGTTCTGGCTGCAGCTGCACTTCCGGCAGAGCTGATGAGCATACCGGGTCCTCCCAGAAGAATGAAGGAGTCAAAGGAAAACCACAAAAATCACACAGTAACCACCAGAAAATAAAGACTGACATCAACACAGGGCAAACGTAGGAGCTGAATGAAGCTGGCGTTCCAGGTAGAGTCCAGAAATTAACCAACACCCTGATTTCCTTCCTCAACAATTTTTAGTTCTATAACCAGTCAGACACACTAAATACGAAAACGGAATCTTGTGTCTCCCATTTCAACCCTTACACGTCGATTTCCACTTCTCGCCCTGACGCGCTGGCCGCCGCTTTCCCCAAGACATCGAAAAGGAAGTGGAGGGAGTGGCCACTCCTGGGTTTGTGCCGTCTCCAGAGAATACTCTCAGAATCCCTCCGTAAGAACTGTATTCACAATCGTTGCTGTTGATGCCCTTTCTGAGATTAATAAAGTATTATTTTCTAGTTTGCTCCTCAAACTACTGGGCTCAAGCGATCCTCCTGCCTCAGCCTCCGAGTAGCTGGGACTACAGGCATGTGCCACTATGCCAGGCTAATTTTTTCTACATATTTTTAGTTGTCCAGCTAATTTCTTTCTATTTTTGGTAGAGACAGGGTTTCACTCTTGCTCAGGCTGGTCTCAAACTCCTGAGCTCAAGCAATCCTCCCCCCTCAGCCTCCCAGAGTGCTGGGATAACAGGCGTGAGCCACCACATCCGGCCAACTTTTTCTTGATTTAATTGAGATGATGATGCCCTGGTTGTATACACATATATTCTATATATAGAATAGAATATGTATATTCTGTGCATATATAAATTCTGTGCACGCACACACACACACACACACACACACACACACACACACACACACCTGCACTGGGTTTGGTAATTCTGAGTTAATATTCACATGTCAGTCTTGGTTTCCTTTCTGTAATGTCATTACCTGGATTGGTATCAGGGTTTTCTAGCCATGTAAACAGGAGCCTGCATCTTCCTTACTTACCCTCTGGGAGAGTTTATATGAGGTTATACTCACTCCTTACCTGAATATTGTGTAGATCTCACTGATGAAGCCAGTTGAAACTGGATTTTCTTCATTAAAATCTAATCATTCAATTAACTAGCAATTCATTCCTTTACGGTCAAAACACTGTTCAAGTTTTTCATTTCTTCTTGATTAGGAACTTAAAAGTGGTAAGATTTTGTAGGAATTCGCCCATTTAATCCACAGATTATTTGTTTGTTGAGACAAGGTCTCACTCTCTTGCCCGGGCTAGAGTGCCGTGGCGTCAGCCTAGCTCACAGCAACCTCAAACTCCTGGCCCCAAGCGATCCTCCTGCCTCAGCCTCCTGAGTAGCTGGGACTACAAGCATGCACCACCATGCCTGCCTAATTTTTTCTATGTATTTTTAGTTGGCCAATTAATTTCTTTCTATTTTTAGTAGAGATGGGGGTCTTACTCTTGCTCAGGCTGGTCTCGAACTCCTGACCTTGAGCGATCCTCCTGCCTTGGCCTCCCAGAGTGCTAGGATTACAGGCATGAGCCACCTTCCCCGGCCTCATCCACAGTTTTTAAGTTATTGGCATAATGTTCAAAATATTATTTGATTCTCATTTTAGTGTCTAAAGCATCTGTGCTTATAATAAGTTTTTCCCAAATATTAGATAATTGAGCCTTATTTTTTTATTATTATTCATCTTCCCGATCTCTTTTCATCTATTTCCCTTTTTTAAGTCAATTAAAATTATCAACTCTGTTCCTACATTCTATCATATTTTATTTTCATGTTAATAATTTTATCTTTTATTCTCTCTTTAAATATCCTTCTGTTTATTTTACTGTTTTTTTTCTAACTTCTTTATATGAATGTCTACTCTAGCTCGTTAGCTTGAGACTTTTCTTATTTTCCAATGTAAGCACTTAAGTCTGTGAATTTCTGCTTTAGTTGCATAATACAGGTTTGGTATTCAGTATTTTTCTTACATTATATTTGAAAATAGTTTCTAACTTTCCTCATAATTTCATCTTGTTTGAACTGAACTTGTAGCTGTATATTTTTTAATCTTAAGATGTGTGGGAATTTTTCTAGTTATCTTTTTCTAGTTATTCTAGTTATCTAGTTAACTCTTCTGATACTGATCTTAACCTTAATTTCATTGTATCTGAGAATATACATTATATTATTTCAACCCTTCCATAGCATTTAAAAATTTTTAAAAATTGTATTTTTCACCAAACTTCTGGAGTTTGAGCCATTTCCATTATAAATTTTCACAGCTCTTTAGCTTCTTAATTGAAAAATCACACAAGAATAAGAGACAAAGCAAGCTATGGCTGAGAGATAATGAACGTCTGCACTTCTGCGAGACTGGAACAGAGCTCTGGACGGTGTGAGCTACCTTCTCCCCGGGGGTCACGGAGACTCTCCAGATGCAGTGTGTGTAGGACGGGTAGCCGTTGGGGAACCCAGGAGAGGAGAGGTTGCCGCTGGATTCCTGTAGGGTTTCTCCACACACTGAAAGGAAAAAAGACATAGATCATTCTTTAATTTTCTTAAAGGAAGTAGACATCTCAAATAAACCCTTGAGTTTTTGGTGCCAGACAAGAGTATATGTTTATATTTCACAAAAGACTTTTCCTTTCTAGGTAAATTTTGTGTGTGTGTGTGTCTCTTACAGAATTGTAGTATGCTTAACAGCAACACAGGACTACCCTTAAAAGAAGATTATAAAATAAATAATCTGCCATCCATAAAGTTCCCCACGGAAGCCACTCTCGTTCTTCCCAGGGAGCCAGGAGCCCAAGGAGCAGGCTCAGCCCAGGAGCACAACCACATTCAGACTTGGGACAGCAATACCTACATGATGAGCTCTGTGATCACACGAAACATTTCATTAGCGTGCTCCATGTGCACTGAGGCTAGGTTTAGCAGTAAATACCTTATCAAGGTTAAAATAGTAAATAATGGCTAATACGTGGTCCATAAAGGTAGTACCAAAATGTCAAACACAATTGTACAGCTACAACTGTACAGCTGCAAAATATACAGCTACAAATTGTTTGTTTTTTTTTAAATAAAAATAAAACCCGGAAAGATAAAAACATCATGGAAGATTCAAACTTTCCAAAAAAGATGAAGACATTTATTTACTGTTTCTGTTGATTGTAAACGGTAATAGCTGGAAAGCAGTTAGTATATTTTCCTCTGACTAGACCTGCCTAGTTCCTTGGAGCCATCAGCAGCCGTCTGAGACAAAAAGCACCAGCCAGCAGCTCCAGGACCCCATGGGGTCAGGGCCAGTGGTCGGATCCTTCTATAGCACAACTTGTTTTCCAGTGGCTTTGCGAGGTGTGATATGAGCCACCTGCACAGAGGCTGCTTGAAATACCCTTATTTTGAGAAGGATTCCTCTGCTACAGCCAGTGGCTGTGCCAACCTTCACTCAACAACACGGAAGGACAGCCCCTCCCTCCAAGGAGACTGCAGTCCACGCTGAGCTATCGCCACGGCCACCAGCAGGTGAGCGCATCTCATCAAATCCTCCATAAATTATACATGGTTCTGCATACCTTGTGCCAACGCAAGAAAGATAATGAATTGAAAACACAAGAAAGAGATCCAAAAATAGTCTGCTATAAATATTTATTCAGACAGACTGATATTATGTTTGCACAACAAAATCAGTTTAAAGTAGGAGTGAGCAATGTGTACTCTGATGAATAGGCACTTTAGAAAAAGCACTTTAGAGCAAAATGAAAATGCTCAAGGTCAAAAACGAATCATTCAGCACCGTTCCAGGAGTCGTCTAGGTCACCCGATAGATGTGACACTATTAGTCCAAGAAAAATGAAAGTTTATTAAGATTTCATTAATACAAACAAGGTGCTTCTAAATGATAAATAATGATCTTGGAGAGTTGAGCTTGTTTCAGTGAAAAAAAGTTAAAATTCACAGGAGTTTAAAAATAAATTCTGTAATGATTTTAATTTCCACTAAGCCACAGAGAATGCTGGCGCTGAATTTCCTGAAGTGGATTTAGAACAATTAAATAAATTTAATCCACAAACATATGCCAACAATACTATTCTGATTAAAAAGGCAAATACTCTAAACAAAATATGAAACAAAATGCAACATATAGTTTAAAAATTGAATAAATCCATAGCAGGGGCCTGCTTACACTGCAAGAAGTCCGAACCCCTGTGAGCAAGCTGTGCCAATCGCTCATGCATTTCTCCACTAAGTGTGGGTGTGTCCGGCCGCCTGGCCACTGTGACTCAAGACATTTCAGCATCACTCCAGGCCATTTGTTGATTTATTCTCAGATATAAAAAAACTAACTTTATTTTTCAAAGAACTGGAAGAAAATCCACAAAGAAACAACGGCACTAACAGTCTGTCCAGCGACAGCAAAGTGTGGGGTGAGCAGAGGCAGGTTCACGGGCTGGGCTGTCACTCACTGCATCACTACAGGCAAACCTCAGCACTTCACCCAGCTCCCTTTTCCGTAAAACAGTTGTGTACGGAATACGCACTTCAGTAGGTGCTTCAGTAGGGTCAAACGTCACGCCTTAAGAACACTGTCTACTGAATATGCAGCATCCCGTTAGGGTATCTGGAGTTACTGGTAACCTGTTGAGGGTCAGGGTCGAGACCTGAGCACCCCAGGAGTGGGACAGGACTTTGCCAAAGAGCAACCTGTGGACGTGTCAGTTCACTGGGCAAAAGCTGCTCGCGCTTGACGGGGACATTCCACCGATCAGGGATGTCTGCAGACAGACCCCGCCTTGAAGCCTGAGGGTCACAGCCTGGAGGTCTGCAAAGGGAGTAGGCTTGTAATCCCAAGGCAGAGAGAAGGATCAAAGGATGTGAGCCCAGCAGATAAGAGCAGGTTGCTACTCTAAGCCTGAGGCAGTGTTCCTGTCTCTCTCCTGAGTTCATGTCTCAGTAAATGAGGAACTACATAAAGTAGAAAGAAGTACGGGGGTCTCTTTTGTTCCCGTTTAGACTATATGCTTTACTGCCGACTCACAAGCTTTTCACGTGAAATCACTGTAACCTATGATGTGAAAGAGAATAAAAACGGGCGCTGAACTTCAGTCAGTGCCACCTGGCTCACAGGAATGCTGGCAGTCCCCTGACCTCCCCACACCCTCTCACCTCACTACACCTTGTCCCTGGCTTTGTCTCTCCCCTCTCTTGCAATGCACTCCGCCCGGGGACCTGGTTTTATCGGAGGCATCAAGAACCCCCGATAGTACCCTACTGCATCAAGGTGCCTTCACATCACTTGGTCTGTGATGAGCACGTTCATACTAATGCCATCGTCCTTATCCACGCAGACTGCCAGTGCCCCATTTAAGGAACGAAGAGCCTTAAACATACAACCCTAAGCCGGGTGCAAAGCTAACTACTTCTTTAGAAGGAGAGAGGAAGAGGCACACACGGTGGCTGAGAGAAACGCAGAAAGAAAGAAAAACAGAAAACCAGGAAAGGAAGGAGTTGGTTACTAAAAGCATCAAAAATTCCAAGATAGGAAAAAAAGTCATTCTCTGGGATTTTGGAAACAATAATAAATGCATATTATAGGGTGTATGTGTGTGTGCGTGTGTGTATTTGTGTGTATATATATATATATATATATATATATACACACACACACAAAAACTAAAATATATATACACACACACAAAAACTAAAATATATATACACACACAAACTAAAATATATATATATACACAAAAACTAAAATATATATATACATACACAAACTAAAATATATATATATACACACAAAAACTAAAATATATGTATATATACACATCCCTTACTCTACATAATTCGTAAGCTGTGATACAGTAAATGCTTTTCATACTGTTTTAGAAATAAGAAAACATCTTTCTCACAGATCACAGTGCTTTCATGAATGTGTGTTTACAGTATTAAACAAAATAATGTGTACTTTAATTATTTCTATGTTCCAAGTAGGAAAATGACCCATTTGTGTATTTTACACAATTACAATCTGAAGCAGAAACTATACTTCCAATTATCTTCCTATCAGTCAAAGGAGTAATTTAAGAGTCTCAGGTTGAAAACTTAATTACAGTATCATCAGCTTATTTTTTGATTTTTACTGACTCTCCTATGATTCAGTGTGCAAATGCATCTCCCGTGTGCTTTGTAAGTGTAATGTATATATACATGCATGTAGAGAGACAATCAAATGGTTTTATATGCCAAGTGTCCACTTATTTAGCTGTTATTAATCGCATAACCTTTCCCTTGTTAAGAGTTAAAGTCTATGTCCGGTGTTGTTAGAAATTAGTCAAGGATCATCCATGTCTTTTGTTATAGTGATGCCGTTCTTTTTCCTAAGGAAATTTGAATTTTAAAAAATTAAAGCACAACCACACAGACATGTGTATGTTATGTGCATATAATTTTTAAAGGCATTTATAGGTAAATATCAATCCAACTTAAGTAAATATCCATGAGGTAAATAAAGTGATGAATATTAAGTAGAACTATCTTTAGATACATGAAAAAATTAGATACGTAGGCTGATAGCTAGCTACAGATATGTTTATATACAGAGGAAAACATTTAAAAGCTTATCCGCAATAGTGAATCATTAAGATGTAAAAGATTTTAAATACACCTTTAAATTTCAAAAATTTCAACTGTCCCTCTGAAAACTTAATAAGACAACTAACCATTACAATACAATTTTTTTAAAAAAATAGTAGGTTAGAATTTTCCTTTGCAAATCTGATATAAAGGGTGAGGATTCCCCTTCTCTCAGCAGAAATTTGAACAAAATTCACAGAGAGGGTGGTTAATGGTGGCAAAGACCCAGTTAGGTAGTCAGATGGAACGAACAATATCTGATAGCACAACAAAGTGACTATAATCAACTCAGTTAGGGTGTGCTTATAAAATAACTAAAACAGCGGAATCCGAATGTTCCTAACACAAGGCAATGACAAATGCCCCAGGTGACGGACACCCCAATTACCCTGATGTGATTAATTCACACTGCATGCGAGCGATCGTCAGAACATCACATCTGCCTGATAGAGACACACAACTATTAGGTACCCATAATAATTAAAACTTAAAAAAAAGAAATTTGAACAAATTCCATCAGGTAAAATGAAAAAATAAATAAATAAATGCCATCACCCATACTGAATTATGAACTTCCTAGCTATCAACCAACTCACTTTTTCTTTCTTGCACTTGAGTCCTTATCTATCGAACAAAAGGATTCTTCTATACCATGAGCCAACGAGCGCATATTAAAAGTTTTGCGAATGGATCAGCTAGCTCCCTCCCTTGCCCTACAGGGAAAGTTTTCTGCACTGACACCAGAAGTCATGATAAACTTAATTAATGTAAGAACTCCCCAACAATTTGATATATAAATAAGCTTTAAATAATTATCTTTATCTAACAATTACCTACCTGATTTTCTGCAAAAGTTATTAGAATAGCAGCCGATTTTATAGTTATTTTACCATCTGTAACCTTAAATATCTAGAACAACATCTTCAAAAGTGAAGTCTACCAGTGAGTATTGGGTAAACAAAAGTTTCCTTGGACAAATAATTTGGGAAAAGCTGTGTTAAGCAAAATAAAACACGTTTCTTCGACGTAGGATATTTCAAAGGTTGTGAATATACGGGAGGTGCTTAGAGCCTGCAATATTTCCAATTTAGAACAGAGAATCTTTTCTTTCTTGTACCATTAAGGCACAGCCTTCCCCTGGAACATTCTTATTAAGTCCCTTCATTAATCTTTTTTTCACAACTTTATTGAGTAGCAAAACATACAACAGCTCACTTACAACATGGCTAGGACATTCTTTTGCAACAGAGTTATAAATTCCTACTGCTACAATTTTAATTCGTATACCATTAATGATGGTACCTGCAAGAAAAGATCAGTCAGGATCCAATTCTCAAGTTTAAATAGAAGATATTCCTTTTATTTTGGCAAAGACTCAGCATTTGACTGTGAAATCATACAACTACCGTGTGTTTCCCTGAAAATAAGACCTACCCATACAATAAGCCCCAGCAGGATTTCTAAGCATTTGCACAATAGCAGCCCCACCCCAAAAATAAGCCCTAGTGACGGGCGTGGCCGCGCAGCGCATCTGCACAACCCGTGCGTGTCGTCGCGGAGCGGGAAAGAACACGAGCAGCCCTTCTCATCCGCCCCGTGAGAGCTCTAGTGCTCCACAGGAGAGATGGGGCCAATGGTTCTAAAGGAAACAGAGTCCCAAGAAATTCAGGATTGAATTCGGAGTTTGGAGAGTCATGATGATGTTTTGGAAGATAACGACTTCACTACATTTGAATCAATGTAGATGGTTGTACCATACTTAAAAAAAAAAAATAACACATCCCCTGAAAATAAGCCCCAGGGTGTCTTCTTGAAGAAAAATACATATAAGACCCTGTCTTGGAAACACGGTACTTAATGAAGTTACCAAACGGCCATTGCATTTTGCTCTTTGACTCATTAAATTAAAAGAAGTAAAGCGTGCTGTCCTTGCACTTCAAATCCGAATCCTAGTGGCTCGTTTTGATTGTAGCAAAGGGTTCTCCCCTACCTCGCCTTACGACTGACTACCCGCCCACTTGCACCTGTCTGGCCACCTGCCAGCAGGGAGAGAGCCCAGAGACCCGCCCGGCGAGCCGGCTCGTGCACGGGGAAGAGCACAGTGGGGAAGGATCGCGGGCTGCGTCCACGCGGTGCAATACCTGGACATCTATACAGCTTCCTTGCCTGTGCAATGTCTCCTTTGCTTAGGCGGGTCCGCTGGCCGATCGCCGGGCGTATGCCGTTGTCGTCGCGGGAGGGGAGGATGGTGTCCAGAAACATCCCCCTGAGAAAACAGAAGCAAACCGCGCCCAAGTCACTACGTGAAAACGCACATGCTCCTCATGAATGCAAGGTTACTGTTTGCAGACTCAGTCAACGGGGAAATAACACCAGTGCGAGCTCAAAGCAACGTGTCAGGCTTTCAAAACACTTCCGTCAAATTAGGGGGAAAAACGTGCATGTTAAATGTGCGCCTGACAAAGTCGGTGATGACACCCACTTTTTCCTTAGAAATGCAAATTATATGTTTTAAAATATACGGAACACCTTATACCCCGCCACACAAAGTACACGTGATTTTTATCTCGTTCTACCAAGCAGATCTAAGAATCCCTTAGATTACCAGGTTGTAAAACAATTATCCCTCACGGAGGTCTATTTTATTAACAGCAACCCTATAACAGATAATTTTGAGGTTAAAACTGTGAGCCTTAAAATTGTAAGAATCGAATGAAATAGACGGAAGTCAATTTTTTGAGTTTAACTGCTAACTTAACCTAAGTATTCTTAGACGTCCAAGTATTACAGCATATGTTGCAAGAACAAAGAAACACAGAGTGCCAAAATTTAGACAGAAGAGTACAAAGCAAAAAATGTTTTCTTAAAAAATATATATATATATTTTTCATGTCAAAATCAATAAACAAAAAAAAAAAAACCTAATCAATGTCCTAATAATTCTAAGCAATAAATGTGGAGTTGTTTTGGACTCAAGATTGTGGTAGAAGGCTTGCTAGTTTTTCCTATTAATAATGTGCACGACCTAAAATTCTGAATATCGTGCACTAAAGAGACACTGTGATTTTGTGCCGTACGGCAAACACTTACGGCTCCGAGCACTGAGCTTCCAAGTTCAACGGCCTGGGAGTCTACCCCAAGAGGTCGTGAAGTATGGAACGTGTATGCATAGCTTTTCAAAAAAAAGAAAAAAAACAGAAGGATCTTTTTATAAAAATAGTTTAAATTAAGAAATGAAATTGAAAAATCTCTTTTAAGTTAAGACAAATGATGGAGCACTCCTTTCCAAAACGTGTAGCTACCGGGTGCTGCTCTGAGACTGCAGATAAAAGAACAGCACCTTCAGCTCCACTCACTCTTTCCCTCAGGAAATGTCCGCTACTCGCTGTTCTTTATCACTGCTCGAATAAAACAACAGAAACCCGTCCTTTGCGATTCTAACACCCTGCTGTGGGGAGGCAGACCCCAGACCAGAGACAGATAACCCACCGGGTAAGGACAGGTAATACGGAGGGAGGTAAAGGCGGGAAGACGGGTATCAACTGTGCAGCGACGGGTAGTCTTATAGACAGAGAGACCAAAAGAAAAACGCACTCAGAAGTTGACATTTTAGTCAAACCCAACGGGAGTGAAGCTCAGAGAAACAGGGGTAGCTGGAAGTACAGAGCTACCAGGCAGGGAGGGCAGGAAACAAAATCGCCCGGAGCCCAGGGGCTCTCCGAGCAGGGAGGACAAGAAAACAAAATCGCTCGGAGCCCTAAGGTGCTGGAGCACCAGCCAGAGACTTTACCCTTCCCCGGAGCACAACTGCTGATCTGCAGGAGAGCGGAGAACTGATGAGTGACGAGACCGTGCGTGGCGCCAGACTCCCCCACTCCTCGGGGAGGGAAAGGGTGTGGTCTGGAGATGCCTCCAACTCCAACGGGGGGACCAGAGCTCGGTAAAGCCAGACCTAAGCATCCACAGAGCTCCTTATATACTGCCGCCTGGGATGAGGGCAGAGAAGACAAATCTCCACGTGTTTAACAAGAGGCAACGCCAGGCAGGCCAATGCAATTGAGAGGGAAACTGAGTCACAAGGTGGTATGGAGAAAAGCCACTCCTCAGCAATGCCACCTGAATAGACAGATATGTTAAGTAGGCAAACCCAAAACAATTATTACATTTCAATACTAACAAAACATTCATCGTTTACTATCTCTATATTTCTAAAAACAAATGCGTGGCACATGAGAAGTTTCACTTTTTTATAGCTTTCAAAAGAGATGCAACTTAAGAAGGTCAGTGACATCTTGGAGTGCATATATCCAATTTTCACACGACAGAACGATGAATTTTCTTTCACTCCGTCCGCTGAGGTAGCCTCTCTTCCATTCCACGGGAGTCAGTCACTCGTTCTTTCCTTCTTTCTTTGTGGTCAGGAAGTTAACAATCCTCTTCTCTCAACAACCTCGCAAGACCCTGGGGAACCCCCTCAGTGAGGCACTACAGGGCAGAGACAGACCATGCCATGGTTCACTTACTAGTCTCCAGCCTGCATTTGCTTTCACTGTGTTTAAAGAAGCAAACTAGCCATGCTTTTTAAGAAAATCTGTAAAATTTTGCAGCTCTTCTTTTAATGAAAAATGAGCAGCCCTAGTTCCAAGGCATCTACTTTACAAACTATCCATGTCTATAAAACTCCTGTGGATCCAGCCCTATTCTTCCCATAAGTGATTCCCTAAATATACTGATGGCTCATAGTCATGAAAACAACTAGAATTTTTACAGAGTCTGTAGGTTCAGAATAATAAAAACTTAAAAACAAACCCTTCAAATATTTACATTAACCGAATGAAGGACAAGAACCATGTGGTCATCTCAGTTGATGCAGAAAAAGAATCTGACAGGGCCGGGCGCAGTGGCTCACGCCTGTAATCCTAGCTCTCTGGGAGGCCGAGGCGGGCGGATTGCTCAGGGTCAGGAGTTTGAAACCAGCCTGAGCGAGACCCTGACTCTACTATAAAATAGAAAGAAATTAATTGACCAACTAAAAATATATATACAAAAAATTAGTTGGGCATGGTGGCGCATGCCTGTAGTCCCAGCTACTCGGGAGGCTGAGGCAGGAGGATTGCTTGAGCCCAGGAGATTGAGGTTGCTGTGAGCGAGGCTGACACCACGGCACTCACTTTAGCCTGGGCAACAGAGTGAGACTCTGTCTCAAAAAAAAAAAAAAAAAAAAAATCTGACAGATTCAAAACCCTTTCACGATAAACACTCAACAAATTAGGAATGGAAGGAAACCGCGTCAATGTAATAAAGATCATATATGAAAATCCCACTGCTAGCATCACAGTCAATGCTGAAAAACTGAAACATTTTCTTCTAAGACCAAAAGCAAGGTGAGGATGCCCACTCTCACCACTTCCATTCCACATAGCACTGGAAGTGCTGGTCAGAGCAATCAGGCAAGAAAAGAAATAAAAGGCATCCAAATTGGAAAGGAACAAGTAAAACTGTCTCGGTTCGCAGGTGACTTGATCTTATACATAGAAAACCCTAAAGATGCCACACACACACACACACACACACACACACACACACACGCAAAAACTGTTAGAACCAGTAAATTTTAAATTGTGTCCCAGTATGAACAGCTCAGGTGCTATGTCCTACTCTGCTTCTTACCAAGAATTTTTTTATAAAAACACAAGAATAAACTTGAATTTTTCCCTTCAAAGTAGATACTAATGAACTGTGAAGTGGACATAAGTGGGAAAAACGAGTTGAAATGAACAGATGAGTGTACAAAGGGCATAAATGCAGAGAGGGGTGAGTTCGATGATTCCAAATTCCTTACCTGGGAACTATTTGCTCCATGGCATCATCTTTAGAATGAAGTAGATCAAAACCCAAATTTATTGCACTCTTTAGAAACAGCATTAGCTCATTAATGAAAATAATTTCAAAGTTAGCAAATGGTGAAGTATAATTCTAAATTGTATGAGGCAAAATGTTTTCCTAAGCTGTTCTTTCACAATTCATTAAGTGATGTCAATTTTTGACCACAAGTGGTACTTGAGCAATAGAAAATACACAACATAAAAACATAAGTCACGCAGGGTGTGGCATTCCGACTGAACAAGCAAGTAACCTATTTAACTTGCGAATGCCTGATTTCCACTAAATAATGCTTTGCCAATTTTACACGCCGACTGGTTTGGTAATCATTTTAATTGGACTTTTTTATGGCTTAGGAATATAAAACAGTTTAAGTGACTTATACCATCTTAATTATTACTTTGCATTTAGATATTTGGTAGAAAATGTAAAAAAAAAGTGTTTTTAACATCTCTTTCAAGTGCCTGCTGCTGGCTACCGATGTCGATCCACTATTTCTCTGCTTTATTTCTGCAGGGAGGCAGCAAGTTTGGAGGCGGTTCTAGCGCCAACGCCAAGCACAGCTCTGTGAGGGGCCAGACGGAGGAAAGGAATTAAAAGTCAAAAGGTATAACCTGCGACTCCAACCTTGAGAAGGTGTTCCTGGCGTAGTGCATGATGCTGTCGAAGTCGTATCTCTCCCCCAGGGAGTTCACCTCGCCGGGCTCCATCTTCAGAAAGTTGTACTCTTGACCTGAGGACCAGGGATGAAAACGACTCAGAAAACAAGGACAGAACAGCCTCTCGCAGCCCCGCACCTATGCTTAGCTAAGCGCCCGACCTCCTTGCTGTTGTGTTTGTGTATTTACACACGAACATCCAGGCAAGTGCGCAAGGCAGTCCCCACCTGCTGCCACCACACTGGAAGAGCAACGCTGGGTTGCAACAATGCATCATGTGCAAAAAAACGTGGACTCCCACAGCACGCTCTGGGCTTGCTTTCCATGTCTACTCTTCTACCACCTCATAATATCTGTTACTTTAAAATCCTACTGCTTTTTATGGTTAAAAAGAAACCAAACTTATGTTTTCATCTAATGAGTTTCCCACTTTTCTCTTAGGACTTCATTTTCCAGGTCCCACAAAAGTCATATTCCCACAGCAACAATGTGAAAAAATGCAGCAACAGGGTCAGAACAAACACAGCTCTGCGGGCTTTGGCCACGTGACTCCATCTCTCTCAAGGTCAAACGACCACAGCGAATGCCCCACTTTCCTGTTAAAATGAAACAAGGTTCTCCTTGATAAAAAGAAGGTGTTATTTTGAGATCAAGAAGAATTATTATTTTTCTTCTTTTTACTTTCCACATCTGTTATTTTGACTCTGGATGTCTTCAGTCATAACAGGTGTTTCCACTGCCTGTTTGTGCCTGTATGGTGAGACGTTTCTTGAAATTTGAAAAGAACACAGACTGAAACAGGTAGGTCTGCACCGATGGTTCCAGAAACAAAGCGCTTCTTCAGACAGGGTTTACGTGCCGGTGGCTCAGTTTTCACAATCTCGGCGGCCAAAGGCAACGCAAGCCCTGTCACTTACGTGACTTGGAAAGCTTTGAGACATCAAGAAATAAAGGTGAGCTATTCGAATCCCAAATTCATGCTTGGAGCTCAAAATGGAACTGTGACGCCACTCAGCTAACTGGCTTCTTATTCCAACTGCGATATGTCAGTTAAATACGCTATAAAAATATCATAGTCATAAAGGCTTTTCCAAAAAGACACAAAAAGGAGTGATGCCACAGAAGATAACGAGTGTCTCTTCTGCGAGAGACGGGGAAATCCAGTATCCTTGTTTGAGCATTAAGGATGAGAAGTTACAGAAGCCAAGACCCAAATTAAAGTGTTTTGCTCCATCTTTTAATGCATTCACACAGAAGTGAATGTAAATTAATTAACCATCTCTCCTACTGGGATGTGTGCTCTACAAATCTCTGACATGGCTGTGTCGTTATTACCGTTCTCAGGAAGCACCCACCAGAGACGACTGTTAAAACTCTCGTCTTCATCAGGATTTTAAGTATAACACAGTGTATCCAATTCAAGGTCAGATTTTCAAAACTCTGTGGCCCTGGCTTTATAGTTATTAACCCATTAAGATTGCCATTTACAGCATGACATGGAGGCAGATTCTCTAACCCAAGCAAAACACTCCACAGACATTTCTGAAGCTGGAGCATGAAGCAACTTCGGCAACTCGTTTTGACGCGTGTTAACCGAGCACCTCACACGCCCGTGACGCCATGTTCTTTATTAGTTAAAAAGAACGTGGCCGATTGCCCTGAGTGAAGTAACTGAGGAATGGAAAACCAAATACCGAGTGTTCTCACTTAGAAGTGGGGTCTAAGCAGAGCGCTCAGCAGAGTGATGGCCACCGAGGACTGGGGGGGAGGGGGGTGGGGAGTGGATGGGGGATGGGGAAGCTACCTATTGGGGTACACTGTTCGCTATTGGGGTGGCAGGTGCTCTCACTAAAAGCCAGGACTCGTTCCTACACAATTCATCCAAGTGACCAAAAGCTACTTGCTCCCCTAAATCTACTGAAACAAAATAAAATAAAATAAATAAAAAGAACATGGCCATATCCACGTCCAAATAAAATAAAATCAGGCTGACTTCATGAAGGAAGGGAAGAGAACCAGAGACACATAGCACCCAGGGAAACTGCACTTCAGAATAAAAAGAAATGACAAGCCTTCTTCTTTGAAAGCCTACTCTCACATGGATTAAAGTAATCCGATCCTTACACCAGTTTGGCTCCTGTCATAACGACCTGTTTTGCATATAAATGTGAAGCCAAAGTTTATGCTTGTTAGACATCGCCCTGGAATAACACTTGCTCTTGAGTCTCTGAGCCAGGGCGAGTCGTCAGTTTGTGGAAGATTAATCTCCAACATAAACACTTGCATCCTGGAATCGCTCTGCTCCAGAAGTGCCAATTGCTCAGGAAATCTCACTAAATAAATATTTTTCCTTTAGGCCTGAAGGTTTAATCAAAAAAAAAAAATATATGAACAGCCATAATTTGCCCAGTACTGTTTTAGGATTATACATTTCTTTACACGACTCATACACTTGCTCCTTGTTTGGGGAACATACTTATGTTGAACCAGAATCCTATCTTTAAGGGTGAGAGCCGTTTCTGAAAGTCATATCCTGTATAATTTTTTTTTTTTGGTCCACCTAATAAAATGTTTGGCAAACAGAGGAAACAGAATAACTGTGTTTAACAGAGCCCATTTATTTGGCAGCTAGAGTAATTTCCAGAATTACCATTTCCTCTTTATCTCCCTCCTAATGACGCGAGGCACAGGGTGAGCCCTGGCAGGAGGCTGGGGCACTAGACCCGTCCACACGGCACGGCATGCACCTGCTCCGCTTCCGACACAGCTCCGCAGATAACTTCATCACTCCTGAAATGCCTTCTTCCCTCAGCTTCTAGGAAGCCACATCCCCCTGTCTGTCCTCTCACCTGTCAGCTGACACCTGTCCAGTCTCAGGAGACACTCTATCCAACTCTGTTCTCTGTCCGTTTTCTATCCCCAACTTTCCCTTCCTCTCCCTCCGGCTTTTCCCAGGACAGTCGACTCTGCACCACGGTTTTGTCTTTAGGCAGGTCCGCAAGTCCAGACTCACCTTTCTTATGAGGCTCATCCCCAGGCTCCTCAATTCAAAGACATGCTAGATGGAATCACTGCTCGTTCTTCCCTTTCTCAGAAACACGCTACTTTATCAACATTCCAAAATATATCGAATGTTCCGTGTCCTGTGCCACGGTGCATCTTCTTGCCAAAAAATAAATCTTCGGGATGTTTCACATCCCGAGATGATGCTCCTCTTAAAACGGTTTTGAACGACTATTTCCCTCTTCCTGTCGATCTCCCTACCCTGACCGAGAGCCCAGTCCCCCCTCCCTCCCTACTTGTTTGGGCTTCTTGTAAGTTAATACAGTGTATCCAATTCAAGGTCAGGTTTTCAAAAATCTGTGGGCCTGACTTTATAGTTACTAACCCATTGGGATTGCAATTTAGAGCATGGTATGGAAGCAGACTCTCTAACCGAACGATGATTTTATACTTTAAATTTTTTTTTCCTGGAGAGTGAATGATTGCATGTGTATTTTAGACTTGCTTTGTTTTTTAAGATTTAGCTGTTTTATTTCCAAACCTCTGTGCTTTCCAAGAATGGCTGAGAGCCAGTGAACCACAGTTGCCCCCTCAACCTCAGGTGCCTCCTCCCCACACCTAGTCAGTCACTCCTGCAGCTGATGGACAGAGTCCTCTTTTTCTGTCATCTGAACTTTCTCTGTCTATAATCCTTTGATTATTCCCCAGTAGCTAGAGAATAAAACCTAAATTTCCCACACTTACATAGAATATTCTCTATGATCTAAACTCCCAGGTAATTCCCAACAAATCTACCTGTGACTTACCATGCAACTGCACGGGCAGACAGAAATGATTCCATTTTCTTTAACGGCAACTTTGAGCACGGTGTTTTTTCAGCCCAGAAATCTCATCACTCACCTGTCCATCTGGGACATTTCCACTCTACTTCTAAATTTCAGTTCCTTTGTAGCATCTCCCTTGACCCGGCAGAGGTCATGTTGTCACACTTCGCCTGGACTCGGCAGTGTGACCGTTGTCACTCTCTGCGCCCTTGGAGCCCCGCTCTAAGTGTGTATCTTTCATGACAGTGTCTCCAAAACCTAACACTGCCTCAATAAATAGTTGGCACCAAATATACAACGATCGGTGCAGTTAATTGCAGAAGATTCTAAGGAATTCCATGTTGAAGCAAAACTGGCCATGAATAAGAAAATAAGAGCACACACATTTTTGCTCTGCCTTACGCTTGAAATACAAACTTACAAGGAAATTTCCACTGAGATTTTTCTTTTCTACAACTGAAATGATCTTTATGAATATAAAAGTTAAACAAATAAAAAGCCTTACAATGAGGCCATTATCAAACACCAACCATCAGAGAGAAGTAGACTTTAACTAGAAATTACATTTCCATTATTGAAAACATTCCTAAGAATCTGTCTACAGTGTGGGCAAGCTTAAGAGGAAAATCTCAAAAAACCGTTTAGACTACCCTGGAAATGGAATTTTCTCCAAGAATTGTACCTGGCGTCAACGCAGATTCCTGCGGTAGCAGAAAGTCTCATGGCAAACCCTGGACCCTTTTTAAATCCCTGTAACGTAAATTATAGAGAACTAAGCACGAAAAAAATGCCTATGTAAAAAAGAAAGATTTAATAATATTAATTTATGGTTCACTGGCTCTCACCCATTCTTGGAAATCACAGATAAATAAAACAGCCAGATCTTAAAAAAAGAAAGCAAGTCTAAAAAAAAACACATGCAATCATTCAGTCTCTAGGAAAAAAAATTTAGAGTATAAAATCATCCTGGGTAATTTTTATTCCAGAAAAAATGTTGATTCCACCATATCAAAAAATTAGTTTACGTTTTTTGTTTTTTTTGTTTTTGTTTTTTTAAGTTAGACGGTCAATTGCATGAGTACAGTCCGAGGATGTTCAGTCAGCCTTAAACCCCCACGACCTCTCACCTGGCTGGATGTTCTCTCGGATGATGGTCACGTGGTTGTCCCGGTCTGGCCGCGTGTGCTCGTGCCAGAACCCTATCACGTGGCCCAGTTCGTGGACAACGATTCCAAACTTGTCGCAGTTCTTGCCAATGGAGATGGCCTGAGGCCCGTTGCCGCGCCGACCGACATAGGAGCAGCATCTGGAAGAGGGAGAAGGTGGAGCTGGTATTGGAAGGGCACGACGGGGGATGCAACACGATGCCACTTCGCAACGATCACGGGGACCCAGACAGTCCACCCACCCAGAGGCAGAAGAACCCTTCCTCGATAAATGCGGCTAGCTTCTGGTGTCCTTTTAAATTTATGCATAACAGATGTCTCCAAATAATCAGTTCCAGTGCTTTTGCAATTAATCTATGCATCAGAAAACCTGCGCCCTAAGTCAATTTTAGAAGTGTTAAGAAGACAGATCAGAAAATACGATAGCTATGATGCTGGCTAATGTGCTATTCGTTAAGACATTAACAGTATGCAGAAGTTTAATGTATCAACGCACATTCACTTGTGATATAAACTTTATCCGCACAATTCCTGTTAAGCATTTAGGTAACTACTTTGTCGGTGTGATTATCTAGAAATAATCCAATGTTATTTCAGTATTAAAAGTAAAGTTCATTTTTTCTCTTTGAAAAAGCAAATATATTCAGGAAAGAGGTTGGTTCATCATAAAAAATATTACTTTTCCTATTCACAAAAGAATTGGTTTTTTTTTCACAAAAGCAGAAAACTTTTGAGAGATGTTAATCAAAGAAAATTATTTTCAAAAGGTGGATTACCTTGAAATTAAGCTTAAGATCAGTGTCAGAAAGATAACTAGAAAAATCCCCACACATCTTAAGATCAAAAAATATACAGCTACAAGTTCAGTTCAAACAAGATGAAATTATGAAGAAAGTTAGAAACTATTTTCAAATATAATGTAGGAGGCGGGGCACGGTGGCTCACGCCTGAAATCCTAGCACTCTGGGAGGCTGAGGCGGGAGGATCGCTGGAGGTCAGGAGTTTGAGACCAGCCTGAGCAAGAGCGAGACTCCCGTCTCTACTAAAAAATAGAAAGAAATTAATTAGACAACTAAAAATATATAGAAAAAATTAGCCGGGTGTGGTGGCGCATGCCTGTAGTCCCAGCTACTCGGGAGGCTGAGGCAGGAGGATCGCTTGAGCCCAGGAGTTTGAGGTTGCTGTGAGCTAGGCTGACGCCACGGCACTCACTCTAGCCTGGGCAACAAAGTGAGACTCTGTTTCCTAAAAAAAAAAGGTGGAATACGTAGGGTCATTGGTTAACCAGTGCCAGAGACTGAATGCTCAGGTGCCCCTCCCCACTCTCATTTTTGAAGCCCGCCCCCCAAGGTGACGGTGTTTGGAGGTGACGGGGCCTTTGGAGGCTCTGCCCCCCATGGATGGTGTCACTGTCAGCGACTTGTGAAGGGGGTGCCTTCCCTTGGGGGGCAAAGGCCCCCACCCCCTCCGCCCGTGAAGACGCAGCATGAACCCTCTCACGTCTGTCTGTGCCCCAGGCGGCCTCACCCAGACCCCGGACCGCTGTGCCCCCTCGGCTGAGAAACGAGCCCGCCGCTCCTGAGCTGCCGGTCCCTGATGCTCTGTCATCCCCGACGGGTCACGGTTCAGAGAACCGTGGGACTCCGGTGACGTGTGCCGCGTGGTCAGCCTAACGGCTTGGTGTGACTTCCGTCTCGCCCCCCGAAAGAATCCCGCGGACTGGCCAGCACCGGGGGAAACATCCGGGAATACATTTCTGCAAACTGTCATCAATTTACGGACACGCACACACACATCCAGCTATGTCTTTCTATCCGAAATACAGACGTTCCATCCATTCACTTTGCATGTGTGCACAGACGTGCGCGTGTATGTGCGTGTGTGGCCGTTCAGAAGATTCTCAGACACACACGTGAGAGACTGAACACACGGGACACCCGCTTTGAAATAAGTCTTACATGGTACACTAGTGTGGTTGCTGCGATTATAAACATAAATAAAGTCACATGCAACACTTTAGTAACTAGGGCTTCAATTAAAGCAGCTTGTCCTGAGCACAGCAACAGAGGCCTCCAAAAACTGGCCTTAGAGATGAGAAGCACGTGCACGAGACAAAGCAAACCCCTTTTCCCGACTCACCGAATGGGAGGCTGCCGAAAATTAATAACTCCAAGTGATTAAAAGGGACTCGCTATTTCAATTTCCAGGGTGAGTCTGTTTGACAGCCCTCATGATTCTCCACAAATATAATTCTCATCTCCCTCTCCCCCACCCACCCTGGTCCCCAAATTGTCCCACAGTCTTAAAGGACTTGAGCATTTTAACCCATACCCTGCCAATCAGATGAACTGATTCGTACTCACTATTTATGAATCTGTATCAGCTAATTAAACTGAGTAAATCGGCAATAGAAAGAAGAAAGAGGTAATTGGTGGGGGGAGGGAGGAGAAAGTGAAGGGTGTTTTTCCCCCTCAGGTAGTTTATTTTTTTTAAATACTATGGTTTAAGCCATACCTAGACACTTACTATACACTCTAACAGTTATTTCTTACATACCCAAAAAGTATTAAATGCAGAAAAATATAAAATTTTCTAATTTAGGGGAGATGTAACATGAAATATTTACCACTTTGAATCACTAGTAATGAAACAGAAATATCGGATAATTACATAGCAACTAAATTACCCACACTGAGTCATTCTTGCTGGTTATACTCAGAGAAGAAAGTACTGTGGAAATCAAAGTCTGGGAGACAGCAAAGCAATGTGGTCAATTTCTTTAATCTAAAACACCATTTTTAGCCTAACTGTACCCATAGCAATTTCCTATGAAATAGGGTTTCATAATGGAAAGGAAAAATAGACTCCACGTTGCCTTATTCATGGAGCTATTATTTACAATATCCTGCAAATGAAGAAAAATGTTGGTCTGGTCCCTGACTAACCAAAAGTCTTGGGGAGAGAAGGATTCTAGACTCTCAAATTAAAAAATAATTATAGATGGGCTTAGAGGCATATTCAGTATGGAATGACAGGGCAGCACCATTTATTAAAACTTGACTTAAGCATGACAAAATGTGTTCTTGGTTTGATGCTATTTTCTGTACGCGGCTCTTAAATTTTTGTTTCTGATTTGTCTGCCCCTTTCAAAGCGTGGCCAGCATAGGGTCTACCTGCCCTCGCTCAAGAAAACCTATCACACCAACTATCACACCTTTGACCCCCATCCCAGAAGGCCCTGCCCACGCCCAGAGGAAGGACCCTGCTCAGAGAGGCCAAGGAGAGTCTAGACAGACAGGGCTGCCTCGGTTTCCCCACTCAGTCTGTGAGCATTAGTACACACCCTTCTTGTCCGGCCACATTTCTACACAGCTACCCTCACTTTGTTGAACCTGAACATAAAAATGAACTTTTTCCTGCACCTTTTGGTCTTCATTCTGAAAGCTTAAATATTTAATAATACACATATGTAATGTGTATACACAGTAAATGGATTCGCATGCCTTCGTTCCTATTACTCTGCACCTGTTCAGTGATTTCAGGGACACTTCGGAAGTTCGAGGGGGTTCCCGGCACCTATGCAAGCATGTACACATGTGTGCAAACATACATGTAGATAAATATAAACATGTATGTCCATTTACAATACAATTTAAAAACAGGAAATGCACTGCAGCTAAATGTTCTAACCTCTACCTTTTGCTTATTATATTTTATTATTTTCCCACCTACTGAAGGCCTGACGTGGAAAAGGGGCCGATAAATATTAACTGAATAAAAGCAGATTATTGTGGGAAATATAATATTCTAAAACACACAAGCGGTGTGTTCCATATTTAACGGTTCCTCCTATAAATTATGAAAACTATTTTAGCTCTTATTTTAAAAGATTACAAGAGCTACAAGTTGCCTGATTTAGTTGGTGAACTCAATGGAAGTGATGAAAGTGATATTAAATAGTAAGGGGCGGTCCTACCAGGTTAAAGTTAGAAACAGAATTGATCTAGCTGCCATCAGTACCACCCTGCGGGATGTGCATATTCAGCGAAGAGTTGAGCCAGATACAGTAAAACGCCACACACTTACTGACACAGCCCTTAGAGATAAACAATCCAATGCTGAAGTCCAACAGGAGTGTGAAATGTTTGAGCTGACAAACATCTCATCCTAGTTGACCCTAAGCCTTTTGTGCAATATCAGCTTCCAAACTCTTTAATGATTTACAACATTTTTTTTTCAGGAGATTTAAGTATTATCACAGACAAAATAATTAAACAATCGTTTTATCAGATTGTGGTCGTTAGCGGCAATTCCGAATGAATGATCATCGGGCCAGTGGTCAGCTCCTGTACAAGGCTTCCTCCTTTCCTACCACTGAAAAATAATACAGGCAAACAAATCACCAGACTGCAACATCACCACTGTGAAAGTCGGAGAGGCATGAGCACGTTGGGTCTAACTTCAGGAGCGCGACTACGCATTCAGGTAGCTGTGGGCAAGTCACGATTTCAGTTTTCACATCTCTGACATAACTGAAGGACGCGTTCCTAAACGTCCCTTTAAATTCTTTTATTTTTTATTATTTTTTATTTTTATTCTGCCATTTTTTTTTATTTCGGCATATTATGGGGGCACAGATTTTAAGGTTTCAATAAATGCCCATTCCCCCCTCCCCCCACAAGTCTGAGTCTCCAGCATGGCCATCCCCCAGACGGTGCACATCTCACTCATTATGTAAGTATATACCCGCCCCCTCCCCCTCCCACCTGCCCAATACCCTATTACTGCAGTACCTATGTGTCCACTTAGGTGCTGCTCAGTTAGTACCAGTTTGCTGGTGAGTGTATGTGGTGCCTGTTTTTCCATTTTGGGGAAAGTTCACTTAGTAGTATGGGTTCCAGCTCTAACCAGGAAAGTATAAGATGTGCTATGTCACCGCTGTTTCTTAGAGCTGAATAGTGCTCCATGGTATACACATACCACATTTTATTAATCCATTCTTGGATCGATGTGCACCCTTTTCATGGAGAAGGCAGCGTCTTGCGTTCCCTCGCTGCACGTATGCAATGTGTGTCTACAGCGTGTAAACTATGCATCCCCGTACACGCGGAGCAGGGCCCTGGGCGTCCCGAGGGACCCGGTGGCAAGTGACCGTCCCCGTCACTGGGGAGGACAGCGCTTGGACAGGCTGCGGGAGCGAAACTGTCACGGCCGTGGGTGCAGCAAGATCCCACCGCGGGCAGCCCAGAACCGGGTGAGGAGGCGGCGGCGGCGGCGGACCCACCGGCAGACAGGAAGGCATCCCAGCCGCTGAGATGCCGTGAGCAAGGACAGGAGACACGGCAGCGAACGGGAAAAGAAATAACCAGGGAGGGTAAAACAGGGGAAGTGGGAAGCTCTGAAAACGAAGGGAGTTCGTATAAACACGAGTGCACTGCACACAGAAACTGGGCGTTTTTTAGAATATCACGTGGTCGATGCTTTGGCTGTGTTCGTGTTTCAGAACTGAAGGGTGGGGAGGAGGAAAAGACGTATCGATCGGAACACATTACGCGCTCAGAAACATGTAAGCTGAGCCGTATCCGCCCCTCACAGCCAGAAGGAAGGAAGGATAGTCTAGATTTGGGCCTTTTAAATATTAAATAGATACAAAGAACTAGGAGGCATTTTAAATGTAACCAAAACTTATCAAGCCAAATTTAGAGTAATTTAGAAGGAAACGCTGCTTAATAAGTCATGACTAAAAATCTGTGGCACTATCCAAAAATATCTAGGAAGCTAATGGTATATAATTTTTCTTAGTGTCACTCGGACAGGGCTAAAATTAAAATACATTACTTTAAGTTAAATTAAGTGTTCTAAGAAAACATGGTAAAACAAAGATGATACAATGCTTCCCCTCCAAGATCTACTGAAATTACATGCTTTCCCCCAAGAAAGTACATGTCCTTAGGGCAAGAATTATTTTCCCCTAAAGAATTAAGCATTTATTTTGGATTTCTTTTTATGAACTGCTCTTTGCGGTATTCGAACAGCCATATAGCACTTTAGAGGAAAGCCTTTCTTTATACAAGGATTCCAGATAATAAAAGCAGAAGGAATTTTTAAAAAGAACAGCATTAGAAAAATCACTGTTTTGAAACGATGGGGACATTTACTCGGCTGCCACCAGTTGAATGTACCCATCACTCACTAAAGTGGTCACTCAAGTGGCAGGTCCAGCACACACGTGTTCAGGCATGTTGTGGTGTAAATAGGCAGGTCCAGCACACGTGTGTTCAGGCATGTTGTGGTGTAAATAGGCAACATACCCCAGCCAGCTATTCTCAGCAAAAAAAAAGTGAAGCTGAATTCAACCACATCTTCAGATATAAACTCCACTTAAGTGGAAATACAGGGGAGAGAGGTTTGGAAACTTTCACAATAAAGATTCTGAAGCACACGGGGTTGCACACCGCGCCTCGGCCGGATCTCCGGCTTTCTGGGGGCTGACGTGGAAGTTGCGGTGGCATCCTGGCATCCCTCGGACGTGAGATGGAGGAATCTGGCCTTATTCTCAGGCTTTCCCCGAAGCATTCTGGGACACTGATGCACAAGGAGGGGGTGGGTGCTCCTTTTTTAAAATAGGCTTAGAAAATGTGTTTCTTTCAATTGGTTGAATATGAATAGCGCCCACTGGCACACTGCTGCAGAACCGCCTCCTGACACTCAACACGGCAGCTTCACAACTTGAAGAATCTGTTCTTCTATAAACACGCAGGCAGCACGGTTCACAACTGCAGAGATGCGGAGACAGCCCAAGTGCCCATCAATTCACGAGTGGACTAATAAAATGTGGTGTATGTACACCATGGAGTTCTACTCAGCTCTAAGAAACAACGGCGATGCAGCACCTCTTGTATTTTCCTGGCTGGAGCTGGAGCCCATTCTACTAAGCGAAGCATCCCACGAATGGAAAAACCAGCACCACATGCGCTCACCAGCAAATTGGTATTAACGGATGGACACCTCAGTGGACACATAGGAGTAACATCTATCGGGTGTCGGGCAGGTGGCAGGGGGGAGGAGGGGATGGTATATAAAGACACAATGAGTGAGATGCGCAACATTTGGGGGATGGACACGCTTGAAGCTCTGACTCGAGGCGGGAGGGGGCACGGGCAATATACGTAACCTCAACACTTGTACCCCCATAACATGCTGAAATAAAAGAAAATCCATTCTTCTTTTGGAGAAAGCACCGGTCACCACCCCGTCAGAAGCAGGTCTGGAACACACCTGCGGGAGGGGACGCCGGGACTCTCGGAAAGCGAGGTGCCTGCTCTGGCCGGCGCTGCGGGAGACAGTCCCAGAGGCAGAGGACGGGCGGGGCGGGGGGAGGGATGGAACCGGCCAGGTGTGCACTGGCGGGGCTGACTGAGCTGAGGCCTGGCGCGGGGGGAGGTGGAGACCAAGCGGCTCACGGAGACGATCGACAGAAACGCACGCCGCAGAGTTTGGAGGCAGCTGGACGGGATGACTAGACAGCAACAGGGAAGCTCCTAACTCAGGAGGAGGGACTTGGAGACGCCGCGGTTACAGGTCACGTAGCCGGGGCAGCAGAGGAGCACGCGTGTGCCATGCACAAACGCCATGGTCAGAGCACGTATGTGCACACGTAACGTGCAATGTTCTCCTACGTGGAAATTCAGACTTTCCCTGAACAAAATGCTAAGCCAAGATTAAGAAACGACTGGTATCCACGGATCTTTCAATTCTTGTTTCCCCTCCTAAACGTAGCCAGAGCGGTCCCCGGTCCCACTCACCCGCAGGGCCTGTAGGTGAACACAATGTAGCTCTCCTCATCGCTCCTCTCGATGAAGGCCACACACGTGTGCTTCTCCCAGTGCCTCATGGCCTGCTTGAACATGGCGCGCTGGCTGCCTGGAAGGAACGCGCCGCGTCAATCCCGCCACCGCCGCCCGGGAGGGAGCGTCCCCAGCGGGGTCCCGTCCCTGGTCTGGCTGGGACTGGGGGAGGCCACCGCTGTCACCCGCCGGAGCGCACGCCTGTCTGCACGCACACGCGTGCACGGGCTCTGCGAGAGGCTCCCATTCCTCCCGCCAAGGGCGGACCAGCCGCCAGGTCCGGCTCTGACGGGCACACCTGCAACGCGGTCTGGGACCAGAGCGGGCCTCCAGACCCCGAGAACTCAAGACCGAGGACGTTTTCTTCAGTTCCAAAGACATTCTAAACTAACCGCCTAGGTTAATGGAGCATTTTCCCAAGTTTGATTTAGTACCGTGTCTCCCCGAAGATAAGACGGGGTCTTACGTTTATTTTTCCTCAAGAAGACACCCTGGGGCTTGTTTTCAGGGGATGTGTCATTTTTTTTTTAAGTACAGTACAACCATCTACATTTATTCAAATAGAATGAAGTCGTCTTCTTCTGGGACATCATCATCACTCTCCAAACCCCGAATCCCATCCTGAATGTCTTGCAACTCTATTTCCTTTAGAACCACTGGCCCCGATCTCCCCTGTGGAGCACTAGAGCTCTCGAGGGGCGGGTGAGAAGGGCTGCTCGTGTTCTTTCCGGCTCGACACGCACGGGTTGTGCAGACGCGCTGCGCAGCCACGCCCGTCACTAGGTCCTATTTTCGGGGTGGGGCTTCTATGGCGCACATGCTCAGACATCCTGCTGGGGCTTACTGTATGGGTGGGTCTTATTTTCGGGGAGACACGGTGCTGTTCCATAGAATATTAACATTCTACAAAGACACACACTGGATCTGCGCGGTGGCTTTTACATGCTCTTCCAGACGGACGCTCCGGGAATATCTCACCAGTGAAGTTGCCCCCGATGACGTAGGGGATCACGCCTCCCGGCCACACTCTCTCCGTCCTGGACGTGGCGGCCCTGGGGAGCCGGCTCTTCTCGCTCTGCCCCGGGAGCGGCGGGGGCGCTCTCCCCTGCGCGGTGCCGTTCTGCTCCGAGCCTGCGGCGACATTTAGAACATTCTGTGAGACACAAGTTCTCGGGCAGGGGCTCCTTTACCTCTTGAAGGACAGAAGTCGGAATGTCTGGTTTGCATGTTTGCGTGAATACGCCAAAAGGCGCGAAAGGGAAACTCTAGTTATGTTACGTGCTTGAAAAAAAAAAAGCCTTAAAATAGTTGAGTGTTTCATGTCAAAATACTATTTCTTCGTGCCCTACGAGCGGATTTTGATGAATCTCCACACAATAGCCTGAAGCCGACAGAAGTCAGGCACGTTCATTGGCCACAGAAAAATTGTTCTATGCTTTCTAGCTCACTAGCTCACTACCAATTTACCAGCGGGTGATAAAACAGATACCGTCTAATACAGGCCCGTGATGTTCGAGATTCTTCTTACTCCTGCTAACTCTGCAATCCTTCCAATCAGAACTGACATTCCCCAGGTCAGCCTGAAATCTCTTCAACACCCTGAAGCAAAGCACCTTTGCTTGGAAAATTATTTCTTGGAAGTACGTACCATGAGTATTTAATCGATAAGCCATCAACTCAAGAAATGTTAGGACAGGAGCTATGCACTGGGGAATTTAAAACAAAATTCTAAAATCTACAAATAGCTGTTAATACATTCAACACTATCAACATTAACGAATTATGAAACCAGAGGCAGTTTTTCTGAATGTTTATATATATATATATATATCTCAAAAATATTCTTAGAATGGTCAAAAACATTTTAACTATTTTTTTAATCTAATAGATCAGTTCGTCAATTTAATTTAAGTGGATTTCATTTCAAAACAAGCACCAGATTTTTTTCATTTGATTAAAACTGATGTAGCTCCAGGCTTTATTAAAAATACCTTGGTATGATACGAAATTAACTGGGAGTAATTATCAACAATAAAATAAATACATTGATACATGTTTAATAGGGAGAATCTTAAGTTAAAGGAACATTTCGAATCATTCCAACTTCTTAAAAACTTACATCAAATATGAGCTCACAAAATACCAATTTCTCAGCACATGTCCTTTAAGTACTTCACATCATAGAGGCACCCTGACTTTAAAGAACCGAACTGCTGTGAGCGTAATATTTACTGTGCATCAAGTCAAGCGCCTGCAACTTTAAACATTGCTATACCAGAGCTAATTCTTCTTATCCTGTCTATGAGCTGGTAGAGGGCTCCCCGCTTCTTTGATATACCGTGGTCTCCAAGGGCACCTTAAAGAATAAAAGAAAACAATTAAGTTAAAGTACATTAAAATTCTTGCAAATAAACAGCAGCATAAGGCTACATTGATTTCTCTTTGGACGTATTTTTTGTGTGGTCTTAAATCGTTAAGAGTTATGAATATCCGTGAATCTTTGAAGGGGGTAAAAGCTCTACCACAACCAATGCTGGAAACTAAAAATAAGGGGTGGGGAGACACAGAGAGCATCTAAATGGCTTTATTTGGGCATGATGACAATTGAGTCATGTGTTGATAATTTGACACATTTTTCTTCCCTGTGACCCTGACCTCACACAGTGTCGTAATAAATGACAGCAAGTCTCTCTGCCCTGCCAACTGCGTCCCAGCCCTTTCCCCCATGCAAACCGAATACTTTCAGATGCCAAATCAGCAAATGGAAAGAAAAACAGTAGAAGGGCAAATGCGTAGTGCAAGCTTTGCTCCAAAGCTTCCATCCGTTTTGAGAACTTTTTAAGAGCGTATCATATTTTATACTGGAGTCAACTAAATCTGGGAAATTAGTTTCTCTAAGTTTATAAAAACCAATAACACATAACTAGAAAAAAGCCACAAGGTAAAAACTCCAAATGAATGTTCAGCCACAGAATATATTCTGTTACACGACGCAACTTGAAAAGTTTATAAAAATGCAGAGCAAAGAATTTTACGGTGCAAGGAGAGCAGGAGGGACAGGGATGGGGGAAAATATCCGTGCAATTTGACCAGCAGAGACTGGAAGAGGTTTAGATCCTTGTGCTAAGTGAGGAAGCACAGCATTCGGCAAAGACGCAGCCCCCTGACTCCATGCCAGGGCTTTCATGAAATGCTGCTCCCAATTTTGCCCCCTATTCTCTCTTTCTTGAATGCTTTTAGTCAATAACAAAGTGGTATCCCTGGGCAAACCGCCAACACAACCACTCAGGACACCAGAACAAGTGCAGGTGAATTTGCTGCACTGCAAACGCCCATGGTCCACCGTCTTAGAGCCGAGCCCGTAAAGACAGACAGAAAGCCACGAACACCACAAACGATCGCCAGATCACTCGAACTGTTTCTTTCCAATGTCCATTTGACCTTTAGAACGAATACTGAAGCTTAATTACCTAGATTGAAACTAAAACAAAAGAAAAAAGCAGAAACAGTAATAAAATCTATTGCCATACAAGCCTCTTAAAAGAAAAATCAAGTCAGTCCTTATAAGGCAAGTACGTTAGAGCGCTTGTTCGCTGATAATAATCTGCTTAATTATTTGCATTGCATGGTCACATTTTTGCTGTGCATCTTGAGAAAAATTTTTGAGATTTTTTTCACCGAACATTTTAGAAAGATGAGGTAATGCTTAAATATATTCATTCCTGAGCCGTTACAAGAAACATTTTTAAAGTGTGGCATTTATGTGCATGAAATGACCATTATGTAGCAACTATATTTGTATTAAATAGGCCAGAAATACATCTGACTGGATTTATAAGGTGGCTAATTATGAGATAAAAGAAATGTCTTTATTAATATTAAGGTAATTTAAGGATACAGTAAATACAAAATTGGGAAAACAATGCTTCTAAACTACCAAAGGCAATATGTTTTTAATAATATTTTTAGTAAATCTGAATAATTTTATAGCAATTGAAATAAAATTCCATGTGGGTAGTTCATTGGAATAGAAAAAAAGGGAAAGTGGTTATTTTTCACGTTTTATAACACCATGAAAATACACAAATTAAGTATGATAGCAAAGATTATACATTTTAAAATTAGGAAATGAGAAATACAGTCAGATCAGTATAAACAAATTAACAAGAAAGGTAAAAGACAGAAAAATATATATAAGATAGTTTTACATTGTTTGAAATTCAACTGAATGGTTCAAGTTACTACTGAACTTTCAAACGTGTACCTTTCCCATAAACATTTAGCATAAATGCTTTTATTATATAATCTGTTTCGTTTTCTTTATCTGAATTAACATTTTTTTCTTCCAGCTACTACTATATCAGAGTTTAACCATAAATGAAATAAATTTAATTAATAATATTAAAAAAATTTTTAAATCACAGAGGATTAACGCCTTCAAAATAAGTGGGGGAGAGAGGTTAAAGAAATGACCTAAATAAAGTCTGAAGCTAATGAAAATTCTAATAAAAGCTGAAAATGGCAACTCGAAATAAATCTAGGATTTTGCCGAGTTGCACCATCGCTCCGCTGTCGGGAACACATGGTCTTCACGCAGCATCACGTGTGACCCAGCAACGGGAGTCTCCACCCGGGAACTCCACGGGGTGTTCCGCACGTGACCACACTGCGAAGCAGGTTCTCGCCCTTATGCTGGTGCACATTTCAGAAGAGACTGCCACTACATGTCACGAAGGACAAAGTACACTGTTACTAACTACCGTGTTTCCCCGAAAATAAGGCCTACCCATAAAACAAGCCCCAGCAGGATTTCTAAGCATGTGCGCAATAGCAGCCCCACCCCGAAAATAAGCCCTAGGTGTCGTCTCGGAGCGGGAAAGAAGACGAGCAGCCCTTCTCATCCGCCCCGTCCTGACAGCGACTGTACCAGAGGTGAGTGGAAAGGTGCGGGCAGCCCCACCAATAAGGGCAGCTCCCCCTGTCGGGTCCCCGCCACCCTGTGCGTGCTGCAAGCTGAGGCTTTGAGCCTCCTCAGTGCAGTGAGGAGGGGACCTTCCGCTTTAGGTGTTGTGTGTCCCCAGGGGGAAGGAGGAGAGCTGTGGCTGCCATTTTACTCAGCGCTGTGGGCCTCTCTCACCCCCCACAAACACCAGGGGATGGGAAAGCTTCAGCTAGCAGCCTCCTGCTGAGCACAGAGAGAATAACACATCCCCTGAAAATAAGCCCTAGGGTGTCTTCTTAAGGAAAAATAAATATAAGACCCTGTCTTATTTTCGGGGAAACATGGGAGTATGTGCCATTATTTTAAGTGAATCCCTTATGTTTTATCTTATATGCTTCTATTTTTAAATAAATTTCTTAGATGTTATAAAGCTATTTTGACTACATAGAGTAACGACTAGCTAACAGTAACATGCTGTGTTTTCAGCAATTGATTCCAAAATGTAATTGTATATGCACTTTTGCATATGTGCAAACACGCACAGCAAACATGGTAATAGCACACTAGCGTGCCTTGCACTATGCTGTCCATTCTGTCACATGTTTGAAATTAGTCATAGTAAAGAGTTGTGAAAAAAGTAATCTGGGCAAAGAGATAATGATTCCAGTAAAAGTCTTCAGTCTATAACATAGATTATATTACATTTTGCTAGATACCAGAAAGAAACTACCTATTTTGTTTTCATGGAATAGAAGACGAAAATAAAAAATAGTAAAAAGGGGAGATGCAATGAGATCAAAGAGCATGACATCAATTACATATTTTAGCCATAAATTAAAAAAAAAAAGAAATTTTATCTTTCTACCCTTACAAATTTTCTCTAATACAGAGTAAAAATTTTACCAAGATAATGTAAAGAATATTTAAATTTTAATAAAAAAAATATTTAAAGATGAAGACTGAAGTCATCTTTTAAAGATTTCAAGTCTCATATTGGCATAATTTAAACATGCTCAAAACAACTGAAGTTGAATTTGCCTTCTGGGGTTTTCATAAAAATTGTACAGACAGAGACACATATATAAATTGTTCTAAATAAGTTCAGTGTGGTCACCCTAAGCATAATGCACGTTTTGCAACTCAATGCCCAGACGGAAGCAGGTCAATGTAGCTCTCCCGAGAGAATGAAATTCGGCCTTCCTCAGAATCCAACGCTGGCTCCGACTTGGCCACTTCCAGTCCAGGCCACAATAAAAAGCTATTAATATATAACTTCCTACGCCTCAGTCCCTCCCCTTGCAAATCACGGTATTAGTACCTGCCCTCATGGGGCTGTTATGAGAATTCCGGGTTCCTATCGGCAAAGCGCTTAAAATCCAGGCCCCGGGACGCAGCACACATCACAACCTGTTTGTTACACTAACGAATAAAACAAAAACCATGAGTAGAACCTAGATTTCTAAATATATTCATCTGTGTGCAGGAAATCAAGGTTGATCCGTGTGGGATATTAAAAACGACTCAGAGAGAGAGAGAGAGAGAGAGAGAGAGAGAGGGGACTGGCAACATTTCAAGAGTGTATTTTGTCCAAAACGAACACAAAATTAATCCAATAACCAACCGTACCTGTGGCACGTCCAAAGGTTCCAAAGGGATTCTGTGTAAGGTCGATTGTCCTGTCTATCTGGAAGATATTCAAGTCTTCATCATCTAAGGCAATGTCACCCCAAAACACAGCTAAAAAAAAAAGAAGAAGAAAGAAAAGTTGAATTAAAACACAAAGCAATCAACGCAATTGCTTTGAGAGGGCAATCAACACGAACAGAGCTATTCACAATGAGAAAACCGCCGCTAGGAGCACGGAAACGCGGCTGCAACACCGCCAATATTTCAGAAAGTTTCCACAACCGGACGCCCTGGACCTGCCGCGGCATACACATCAGTCACCCGTGAGAGGGCACGACCCAGGTTTTTATTCTGGTGTCCGTGGGGAGAGGGAACGGCAGTTTCCCTGAATAAGATGTCACTGATTTACGGTAGGTTCTAAGGGGTCCTCCCGGACAGGTGGGAGGAGGGGGAACAGCCACTGAGCCACCTGCCACGATGGTTTTACAGAGTGACGTGCAGGAGAGACAAAAGAGCATTGCCCCGGCGCGGCAATTCGTCACACTCCCTACCACTTGTGATGCGGTTTCTCTAAAGACAACACTGCCTCTCGTCTCTACAAAGCGGTACTCAACTACCAAAGAAATACCTAGGCAACACTAGATGCCAGGCCTTTCATCTTTAACCCTTTGCACTCGCTTGCTTTTTTTTCTCATTATCCACTCGGCATTATCCACACTCGACATCCGAGTGCAAAGGGTTAATGACAACTAAGACACGGTCCACGTTTTCAGGAGCCTCTGAACCATCACCCTAAAACCTGGAAACATTCCCACTCAATCTTTTACCCCAGGTGTTCTGTGCTACTTCACCGAGCAAAGCTCTACGAGCCGCTGTGAAGTAACGGAGAGTTCAGCTCTGCCCAGCAGGTGCGTTTCTCTGTTAAGACTGGAAATGTCCACTAGCATAACCGGGAAATGGCCTCCTTGCTTTGTTCGAGCCCGAAGTAGACAAACTCTTGATGAATTTTAGCACTGTAAAGAACCAGTTAATAAAATGAGCTGATGTATAAAATTTAAACTTCAATCCTAAAAGCTGTGCAGTGCGCTAGGCTTCGAACTAAGGCTCATCACAGAAAATTATTTACCCGATTTAGTCCTCTCCTACGAAACTGACAGGAGATAGGAATAAGGTAAGTATCGGGCATGGGCACTTCCCTTCTCTGAGGACAGTCAGCTGGAGGGAAGGGGGCCCAGGACCCGCACTTTCCACCTCTCGCAGAGGCCAGCTCCAAAACATTGTTCGTGAAAGGATGGCGAAAGGGGCTACCGTTCTTGAAGTAATGGGGATCAGTGGGGAGGTAATTCTTAAAAGAATGGTTATTTTAAAGGCTCTAGGACGGACTTCTTCGAAATATCCCCTTAGCTAGGCATCGACATAGAAATCTCTGTGAGAGTCATCTTATAATATATATAATAATCTCTGCGAGAGTCATCTTATAATACATAATATATATAATAATCTCTCCGAGAGTCATCTTATAATATATAATATATAATAATCTCTGCGAGAGTCATCTTATAATATATAATATATGATAATCTCTGCAAGAGTCATCTTATAATATATATAATAATCTCTGCGAGAGTCATCTTATAATATATAATATATATAATAATCTCTGCAAGAGTCGTCTTATAATATATAATATATATAATAATCTCTGCGAGAGTCATCTTATAATATATAATATATATAATAATCTCTGCGAGAGTCATCTTATAATATATAATATATAATAATCTCTGCGAGAGTCATCTTATAATATATAATATATATAATAATCTCTGCGAGAGTCATCTTATAATATATAATATATATAATAATCTCTGCGAGAGTCATCTTATTTTATATATATATGTATATATATATATATAAATATCTAGAAAGGAAGAAAACAGAAATGGGTTCAAGGTGGGTTATCAGTTCGGCATACGGAAAGATCTTCACGACAGTTAGATCTCTCTCCTCGCCCCCTCTGCCCTGCCCTATTTCCAATGAAAGGCAGAGGGAGGAAGTAGACCAGAGTCTTACTTTTTCACTACGGCAGAAGCAAAGTCACGAAGGGTCTGGGGAACGGTTTACAACCCTAGCTAAGAGGCTGGTTTGCTGCCAGGAGTTGAATCCGGATTCTAATCAGCTTCACATACACGCAGCAGAAAGAAACACTAACCCTCCCGTGGCCTGGAGCCAGGAGTCCCCAGAACTGGGGACGGCCGACCGGAACCAAACACTGGGCCAGCGACGGTATGAGTCTTGCCGGCTTTCAGAAAAAACAGATCTTACGGTTTTGCAAGCTTTTATGGTAAATCCAAGTTTGCTAGTTCTTTAAAACTCCCATCACATGTGTTTACGATGCAGATATTTATGGGCAGCGACCATGGCCGAGACTCTCCGCCTGTCCCTTTTCTTAGTTCCCGCCACGCACTGACACCACCCTCTCTGGCTTCCGTGTGCCCCGGAGTGGCGGGATTTGGTTCCAGCGTGGCTCTGATGAGCAGGTCTGGAGAGGGGTTCGAAGTCCACACTGTTCTCAAGTTCCCTGTCACTGCCAAGGGTGACCACTGCCATCGTCTTTATCAGCATTCGTTTTTTTCTGCAGGAACAAATTCCCTTCTTTGAGTCTGCTGGTTGACTTGAAAACCCAAAGTGCTCACCCCAGCAAAGCGGAGTTTCAGTGCCACATTTAAATGAAACCAGTGTGCGTGTAATAAAACTCAAATGGGTTTCAGACTTTTATTCTCCTCTAATGGCCTTCCCCGGGCAGCAGGATTCACGTCTCGATGGGTTGTATCAACCACAGAGCAGCGATCCAAGGATAAACCGCTTCGCAGAAGCAAACGCTGTACTTCTGGGCAGCGGAACAGGCGTGAGGCCGCGTGACAGTTACAAAGAGGGAAAACGGTCCGGAGGACAGAAACCCGTTTTATTCATCGCCCTTTCTTCTAAACTACCAGCTTCAGGACGGTTTGGCAGTTCTGAATTTGCCGCAAACTGCTTCAGGAGCAAACCAAGTATTTCTTTGAAACTAGGCAACAGTGAGGGACCAAGCCAATCCACTTACATGCACACACTGGATTACGTTTTGATATTATCGACGGGGAAAAATTAGACATTTTAGAATTTTCAACCTATCACATAGTTTAGAAGGCATGGCTTCCCTCTTTATATTGCACACATTTGAAGTTTCCCTTAATGCATCTTCTACTTAAATCTAAACATCCTATGTCTGTATACTAAAATATTTTACTTATGCACTGGGATAGCAACGTAGACCATGACAACTCGTATTAACATGTATTTAGAATTTGCATTATAATGTAATATATATGAGATATTCGACTGCAAAGAGGTAACAGGGAATTCTCAAATCCACATTGGTATTATTTTGGTTTCCTTTACATACCGCATTTTCCATCAAAAGACAAAAGTTGGACGGAAACAGTTTTAAAAGTATAAATCACCATTCATCTGACCCATTTAATACAGTCATTTGAGATTAGCGAGATCAGAACTGAAAGTAACATGGGATACTGGGTACAGAAGACAATACTAGGGAAATGCCCAAATGCAGTTGGAATATTTACTATTCGTTTGGAATTCTGTTTGGATTCCAATGGTCAAAAAAGGGAGTTGAAGCCAACCAATAGACCGAAATTAAATGTCAGGAAGAACGGTTTTGAAACTACACAGAAAACCACAGGTTTTGTCTTACAAATAACCTCCTAAAGGTTATTTGTTTTCAACGTACTACAAAAAATTTTTTTAAAATCAGAGACTGAAAAAGACAGAGTGCTTTTGTTGCATGTGCCAAATAAGTGCACTTCATAAAACAGCATGTGGTGGGAATGAGCTTCCAAGACTGTGATTCCTACACCCTAACTTTAGAAAACGTCTCTTCCACCCACTTTCCAATTCCCCAATGCCTTCTTTGTGAAGCTGGGGTCCAGCGACTGGCATTAAGAAGGCTTTGCACTCTTGATTTCTTTTCTTTTCTTTTTTTTTTTTTTTTTTTTTGAGACACAGTCTCGCTTTGTTGCCCAGGCTAGAGTGAGTGCCGTAGCATCAGCCTAGCTCACAGCAACCTCAAACTCCTGGGCTCAAGGGATCCTCCTGCCTCAGCCTCCCAAGTAGCTGGGACTACAGGCATGCGCCACCATGCCCGGCTAATTTTTTCTATATATGTATTAGTTGGCCAATTAATTTCTTTCTATTTGTAGTAGAGACGGGGTCTCGCTCTTGCTCAGGCTGGTTTCGAACTCCTGACCTTGAGCAATCCACCCGCCTCGGCCTCCCAGAGTGCTAGCACGTTCCCCACTTCCGAACGACCGCGTGCAGAAGTATGCGTGAGCTTACGAGCACCAACAGCGCACATCTTTCCAGAGAGAGGTCCCCAGCAGACTGTCAGGGGGGATCCCACAAAGCAAAGAAGCAGGACTCTGCCAGCGGCGAAGCCTGTCAGTCCACGCCGGAGAAAGTGCTTGCAAACTAAATACCCTCGAGGAAACGAATCTATGGACTTGAATGAACCCGAGGACGGGGGCCACTGTGGAGAGCACGCTGCCCGCCACGGTTGAGAAGCCCGCGACATTGCGGACGCCGCCTGCAGAAGCCTCCCCGCCCCCGCCCCCGCCCCCACCCCCGCCGACCCAGGCAGGTGTCTGCGTCCACGTCCTGGCCGTGGGGGGTTTCACGATCAGTCATCTGAGTCCTCAATCTAATTTTGAAAATGCAACAGAAAAGCCTGCATTGCTCCCCTGTAAATCCTCAGTGCTAGATTCTTAAAATAAATACTAACTCCTCAGTGCTAGCTTCAAAAATTTATATTGGGGGGGGCACAAAAATGTGAATGGAAACACACCATGAACTTGGGGTGTAAGCCGTGCAACAAGAACGAGGCCAGGTGTGCTGCTCACCTGTCGGATTTGCCTAAGGCCCAGAGTACCAGATATTTAACCACTGACAGAGCGAGTGCTCCAAGCTGCTCCGTCTACCGTGTTTCCCTGAAAATAAGACAGGGTCTTGTGTTCATTTTTCCTCAACAAGACACCCTAAGGGGGAGACAAGGGCAA